CGCGGTTCCCCGGGGGGGGTGGCCTCCCCGCCCCCCCCCCGATCACCTCCCTCAACCTGCTGGCAACCCTCCCAGGACGCCGGCGGCCCCTCGTCGTCGCCTCGTGCCCAACCTGGCGGCCGCCAGAACCCCCGCGGTTGAACCGCCGCCCAAGCGTATACTCGCGCCGGGGGTTGCGGGATCTTGGCCCGTCCCTCCGTTAAACCTCGCGAGGTTCTGCCCGGACCGTTTTCTCCAGCTGGAAAAGGTCCCTCTGGACGGCGGCGCGACCCCGCGGCGCGTCAGCCAACTCCTCCCGCTTTGGTGTCGCCGGCAAAGCGGCCGAGGGAACGCTCTGCCCTGGCATCCAGCTCGTTAACGAAGACGGATCAGAGCGTCGGGTGCTGCTCGGCACCACCTAAGGCTTCCCGGCTTCGTCGATCGACGGCTAATTGAGCTTCACGACGACGTACCGAGCTTTATCGGGCCCAGATGGGAAAGCCCCCCCTCCCCCCGAACCCCAAAATTGGGTGGGACGAGGAGAAAAAAGGAGGGAAGAGGACAACGTACCCGTGAAGAGCTCCGTGTAGAGCATGTAGACGGCTTTGCTGTCCCACGGGTTCTCGTTCTGCAGGTCGATGGAGTGCAGGACGTACTTGATGAAGATGGTGAGGACCATGGTCATGAGGATGGCGTACTGCGGGGGAGGAAGAGCAGGGTAGGGCGTCGGGAGCCGGCCGAAGAGCCGTTTGTCCGTCCCAGGGATGGACGCGGGAGGTTTGTCCGTCCCCGAGAGGGAACCATCTCCTACCTCGAAGCCGAAGACGAGCTGGACAGAGGCTCCTCGCGTGAGGATGCTGTGGTACGCGTGGTTAACGAAGAGGAAATCCAGGATTCCCAGGAGGAACATCAGGGCTGCGGCGGGGGAAAGAAATCGGGATGAGGGGATAACGAGGAGAGGAGATAACGAGCCTCGAGGCCGGGGGCGGGGGGAGACCCCCGAAAGCTGAAGCTCCGAGGGTGACACCCCAAAACGTATCCCACCGGAGGAGCGGGCCCCTCGAGGGGCATCGGTCCCGGGGGGGGCTAAACGGCTCTGCGCTAACGAAGGGCTGAATTAACGCGTCCCGGTAACGAGGCTGTCTCGTTTTGACGCCCCCTCTGCTTCGAGCCACGTCTTGCGTCCTCGCGTCTCACCAAAAAACCCCCCAAATTCCCTCGAAAGATGATTTTTACGTCCCTAAATCCCCCTTCTCCAGAAGCAGGAATATATTTTGCCGTGGATCCGGCCTCGTATTCTTCCCACCCGGCAAAGCCGGAGCTCGTTAAACCCCCAGCAACCCCATCCCGCTCCCTCCGCAGCCCCCGTTAACGCCCCCTCGTTAACGAAACCGCCCTCACAGGGTTTATCGAGCGCCGACGGTCGCACGCTCGGCCGCGTCAGGTCCTTTCCCCCCCCCCGGGTCGTATGCAAACGCGTCGCCAAAATTATCTTTCCTGACCACCAGCTGCCGGCAACGCGCCAAACGGCGAAACGCCCGCGGCCGGGCAGGATCCGGCCCAGGGTGCGGAACAACAAGATACTCACAGACGATACGGAAGTGGAAGAGCCAGGAGATGTTGGGGCTCCTTTCCATCTGCAAAAGGGGGGGAGAAAGGCTCGAGCTTTTCCCAAAAAAGGCTTTTTTGCGCCCGTTTTCTCGCCACCCGGCACTCACAAAGTCCACCCGGTCTTCAGCCAACCAGTGGAAGCACTTGAGGAAGAGGAGGAGAGTGAAGAGGGCGACGAAGCGAGGGCTGAAGTCGTCCCTGAAGACGGTGAAGGCCAGGCAGGTCTCCGTCACGGCGTACCACGACCGTTCGAGTAGGTGCTGCGGGAGAGGGGGAGGCGGTGAGGGGGGCTTCCCCCCCAGCCTTCGCCCCCCATTTTTGAACCCAAAACGGTGCCAAAGGTCTCTCGGGGTCCAAAATCCCCCCCAAAACAGAACCAAAGGCCTCTTGCGGTTCAAACCCCCCCCCCAAAGCAGAGCCAAAGGCCTCTCGGGGTCCAAAATCCCCCCCAAAACAGAACCAAAGGCCTCTTGGGGTTCAAAGCCCCCTCCCAAAGCGGAGAACGGAGCCACTCGCGGTCCAAAATCCCCCCCAAAACAGAACCAAAGGCCAAAGGCCGGGTCCAAAATCCCCCCTAACCTAAGGATCCAAAATCCCCCCCAAAGCGGAGCCAAAGGCCTCTCGGGGTCCAAAATCCCCCCTAAAACGGAGCCAAAGGCCTCTCGCGGTCCAAAATCCCCCCCAAAACGGAGCCAAAGGTCTCTCGGGGTCCAAAATCCCCCCTAAAACGGAGCCAAAGGCCTCTCGCGGTCCAAAATCCCCCCCAAAACGGAGCCAAAGGCCTCTCGCGGTCCAAAATCCCCCCCAAAACGGAGCCAAAGGCCTCTCGCGGTCCAAAATCCCCCCCAAAATGGAGCCAAAGGCCTCTCGGGGTCCAAAATCCCCCCTAAAACGGAGCCAAAGGCCTCTCGGGGTCCAAAATCCCCCCTAAAACGGAGCCAAAGGCCTCTCGCGGTCCAAAATCCCCCCCAAAATGGAGCCAAAGGTCTCTCGGGGTCCAAAATCCCCCCCAAAATGGAGCCAAAGGCCTCTCGGGGTCCAAAATCCCCCCTAAAACGGAGCCAAAGGCCTCTCGGGGTCCAAAATCCCCCCCAAAATGGAGCCAAAGGCCTCTCGGGGTCCAAAATCCCCCCCAAAACGGAGCCAAAGGTCTCTCGGGGTCCAAAATCCCCCCCAAAACGGAGCCAAAGGTCTCTCGGGGTCCAAAATCCCCCCCAAAATGGAGCCAAAGGTCTCTCGGGGTCCAAAATCCCCCCCAAAATGGAGCCAAAGGCCTCTCGGGGTCCAAAATCCCCCCCAAAACGGAGCCAAAGGTCTCTCGGGGTCCAAAATCCCCCCTAAAACGGAGCCAAAGGCCTCTCGGGGTCCAAAATCCCCCCCAAAACGGAGCCAAAGGCCTCTCGCGGTCCAAAATCCCCCCCAAAATGGAGCCAAAGGTCTCTCGGGGTCCAAAATCCCCCCAAAACCCCTCCGTATCCGCACGCCCCTGCGGGCTTTAACCCCCCCAACAGCACCGATGCCGCCTCCAACGGATCTGCCCGTCCCCGGCGCCGAATTTAAACGGTTCCCTGCCATCGCTCACCTCCATCTCCGCTGCCCGCAGCTGCCCGAAAAACACCTTGCCCATGAATTTACCCAGGAGAAAAACCAACACGAAAGCCTGGATGTAGAGAACCTGCGGGGGAAAAACGGGGAGGGGAAGGAGGTGACGGGGAAGGAGGCGACGGGGAAGGAGCCGCGGCGCAGCCGAAACTCGTTTCAGTGACAACTGGATGCAGGGGAAGGTTTGGCGCAGCGAATTTGGGTCCCAGGGGATGGAAGAGACGGCGATCGGGTACCGGGCTCGGCCCCAACCCCGTTTCGGGGCTGCCCGAGGGCTCCGGCGTAGGCAGGGGGAGGCGGCAGCGGCGTCTTCCCCTCTCCCCGAGCGCCGATCCGATC